GACCTCGTAAGAGAACATGAGCGCATCAGCGCTCGAATTCGAGAAAATACCAAGCACCGAATCTCGAAGTCACCGTCTAACCCGGCTATGCAACAGGAAATGCAAGAGAGAATCTGGGTTAGTCGATGGAATCGAAAAATCCGAAGTCCACTCATGATCAAAGATTCTGAGGCTCCTGACGAAGAGGAGTGGGACAGACCCAGAGAGTCGGCATCTTCCTCCTCTGCGCCTCCTAACAAGGAGAGATTTGTAGGAGTACGCAGGACAGCCATGAGCCTTAACCAAAGGATACGAATGTTGCCTCGACCAGACAATCCTCTCTGCGATCTCTGCAAACAGCCTACAGGCTATTTTTGCTATTCCTGTGGAACGATTGTATGTGCAGACTGTCGACTTACCCCACAGGGTAAACAACGGATGTGCGAGTGCGTCTTGCCAATCGATTGCCTTGAGACCTCCAAAGTGAGAGCAGGAATGACCTCAGAAGAGCGTCAGTTTTTATACGAGGCCATCCTCACACATGAGGACGTAGATTTGGCAGTCCAGAAAATCAACATGTATTGCGAACACGCAAGAAGTCTGTTCGAAAAGGACCATCCAGGCGTTGATCCATGCAGCCTTGATGATATTAGGAACAATCCTCCGAATACGTATGACAGCTCCACAGAGGCTCCAACCCTGGAGGAATATAAGAGCATTAACAAGAGTCACATCAATATCAAGGACTCTAGAACAAGCCACCCGGCTTCTTTTCTCTCTCTTACTGGCTACGAAGACAAACTGGTGCTCGACGCACATTACGAGATAGTTCGCAATAGGATGGCCGGTGTTAACGAGAAGAGAGAATACATTGAAGGCTCAAACCCAGACAGCGTATCGCTAAACCTAGTGGTATTCAACTGGGGAAATATGGATCGAGCGCCGGTGCCCGCAGGGAATCCCAAAAAGAAGCTCAAACCTGAGAAGGGATTCGATTATCACCCTCTTATTGACATGTGCTTCAACAATTCAGCTCATATTACCCTCGTACTCGAGGCAGGAGCACTTGCGTCAGAGTATTCGATCGCAACCATGCGACAACATGAATACAGGGGGATGCTAATCCATTCTCCTCCCAAGGAGCCTGAGGCACCCTCGATGTATATTGGAGTCAAGGGTGACCCAACAACAGACATCGCTCTCGTCCACCACTTTTACCGTCATCGAACAATGAAGCCTAAGAATGGTGGTCCCAAGAAGCGACTGTGGGCATGCCACGGTGCGGTATGCCGCCTCACATTTGGGTACCACAGTACCATACCAGAGGCAAAAGAATGGGTCCACCCATATTCTGGCCAAAGAATGACGAGAGACGAGTTCATGCAGATTATCGGATATGATCCACTCAAGGGCAAAAATCCTGACAAGGATGGACCCACTGATGGCTCTTACCTCTCACCAGAGGCGTGCCTGACACTGTCGAACCTCGACCCCTCGCCGATTCTCTGTGAATGGAACGGCCATGTCGAGGGTGATGAGCCACCAGAGGAAGACTTTGAGTCATACGCAGAGATCTTCTCACAAGAAGCATCGAACGATCTTGACGAGATGTGGTGTACAAAAGGGCCTTACAAGGTCATCACCATCGCGATCGTCCATTTCAACTCGTTCATGACTCATAAGGAAGAACAGAGACGCGAACTGGTGAACGCGTTCCTCAACGAGATTCTCCCTTTTAAACCGGATGTAATAGCGGGAGATCTCAATAATATTGCGTCGAGGCTCACCTTAAAAGGTGGAGACGTTCACCCGCGAAACAGTTTGTTTTCTCTATACCTGGAGAAGAAACTTGCAGCATTCAACAAAATAGCAGGAAGGCACTCACAAGTGCGACATCTTTGCTTGAACAACTCCGACCAGCACAGACTGGCACGTGCAGATCGTCTACCGGCGGACCCGGCGAAGAAAGTTGCTGACCTTGACTGTATCAACAGTTATATCCTTGACTGGAGCAAAACGCCGCACACGGCGTCACCTAGTCCAAGAGAGGTCACACCTGCCGCCGAAAGAACATACTGGGAGCGAATCTCAGATATGTGGCAGGACACGAACAACAACAGGGATATTGATATCCGTCTGTTTGTCTCAGTCAAGCAGTACTATTCAACTTTTTCTAACCTTGACCTATGGTTGAGTCCCTCTGACAAAGATTGGCACAGCCCTTTGGGCTTCACGATACAACCAATCCTTACAAAAGGGAAACACAACCGGTCAGATGCCCAGGTCCAAAAGATCGCTGACAAGCGAAAGGCTTACAAGCAGCGTAATGCTGAATACTGGGGTTACAACGATTCATTCGTTTACTCATCCGGCAACAGCTGGTACGACAAATCGCAACCATCAGGTAGCCATCACAGATATGGAAGATTCTGGGAGTGGCCACAGCCTGAACGTCCCAGCGAGCCTGAAGGTCCTCCTCCAAGAAGGAACCAGGAATCATCGTCCTCTTCACAACAAGATCTACCAAGATCAAGGTCCAGGCCTCAAAGAACCAATATTGTTGACAAGCTCAACATGTCTTTGGAAGAGCTGGATGGACTAGAAGAAGAACCGTCACCAACAAAAAGTGACATCGAAGAACACGAAAGAGAAACATCAAACTTGATGTCCGCTCAGAGAGATGAAGAGGAACAAGAGGACGAATCCTCAAGCCGGAGGAGAAGAAGGAAGGCATCGCGTCCACCGTCTGCTCCGAGCGGCAAGGCACTCAGAACAGCTGCTACAGCAGCGGGGTTGTCGGGCTGGTTCGGACACCGCAACCGAGGTGGAGCGAACGCAGAGTCTACCAAGACTGATGAAACTTCACTTCCAAACTCACTAACCAGTGAGCAGGACTTCTCCGTCTTCAGCATCGCGTGGAATGTGTTCCTGCTGCTAATGGGCTTACACTGGATGTGGAAGCAGATTACCAGGCCTCCTATCAGATGTATGGAGCGCCAACAACCAAAATCAAAAGCAGCAGCGAACCAAAGAGTTCCATTCCTCGAACCCGAGGATGAACCGCAGACGCGTGAACCTTTAGGACCCAACAGGGTCAATTCCGGAGAAACAACTGATCTGCGACCTATCTGGCATACTTCCCGAAGCGAAGTCTACCATCTCTCAGACAGCTGTTATCAGCTCAAGCAAGCAAGAGATGTTTGCAAGAAGGTGCTGTGCAAAAACTGCCTCCATGCAGTACAAGTTGCGGAGATTCGCAGGAACGATCCTTTCCAAAGAGGTGATACACGACCACGTGGCACCGAAAGAGACATTGAGCGCTTCCAGACCTACGATGATGCAAGTAACACTCCTCACATGACACAATTATTCAAGGATGCCTTGCATGCACAAATGGCCGAAGAAGCCATGCAGATTACCTATACATCGATCCCCAAGGGATCCTCGGCAAAAGCCAGAGGTACATCTGCACTCTCAAGTGCCGCATCGTCATCAGCGCCCAAGGCAATGCCACCAGGGCCTAACAAGGCAAACATATCACCTCCACCTAAGAGTCCTCCGCCAAAGGCGAAAGGAACAGTACCTTCTGATCCTCCAAGACCAAAAGGTCCTACCAGAAGAGGAGGTCAAAATCGGCGCATTCAACGAAAGGCAGCTAGAGAAGCCCACAACAGTGGACTCTGCACCTATGCAGACGCTGCACTTAACGAAGCCAATCAAGGCCAGGCAATTAACGTTACGTGCCGAAACATGGCAGCAAGACACGTCAGCTCTATCGATGCAACGGTAGAAGCAGCCGGCCAGTTTACACAACGCGTGCTACAGCACGTAGAAACATATGATGAAGAGGAACCGTGGAGCACGGAGTTCCTACCAGTCGTGGAAGTCCTATTCAGGAACTTAAGCGGCGACGAAACAACTGTCATACATGACAATCAAACGGTAACTATGCCTCTTGCGAAATACACAGACCTCCTCAGAATCGCACAATCATTGCGAAGCTCTATCCAGAGAGACAAGGAGGAAAGGAAGGAACATCTTGACACCATCCAAGATACTCTATCCAGAGTGGAAATCCTTCTAACAGCACTGAAGGACTCAAGGACAGTCTTTAACCAATTGGTCCATTCCTCACTAGAGATAGAGCGAAGAAATAACAATCTCAAAAATGTCCTCGAGACACTCTTTGACGACCAAAGCTCTGAGGAAGACCAGTCAGAATCTGACAATGAAGAAGTCCTAACTCCTTCCGCAGCACAGTATTGGAATAGCCTTTATGCCCACGCCTTATCTCCTTCAGGAGACGAAAGTGAAAGATCATGGGCGTCCTCAGACGGACAACTTGAAAGAAGAAGGGCTGAACGGGCAAAGGCTAAGCAGCCACAACCGGCCAAAGCCAAGGCAACTCCAGTCAGCTCACAAGCTGCTCCAAAGGCCGAGCCAAAGGCGACAACATCCAACCATGGATATGATACTGCAGACGCCGCCTTCACCAGGGCTGAGAACAGATTACTCGGAATCTTTTCAAGTTCCGAAGAAGATCACTCAGACCCGGATGAGCCACATCCGAACGTCTATGCTCGAGCCTATGATCCAAACCTGGATCCGAATCTGAGATAAGAAAATTCTCAGAGTTTCACAACAGTGAATCACAGGGCTCTAACAAGAGCACAATGAAGGGCTGCATAATTCGGTAGAAGAACATTACCAGACCTGATCCTGTACAGATGATCTCTCTGACCAACATGCATGAGTGTGTGCAAAAGGAGTGACCTCAACAGTGTACTTCAGTGCTATACATAGCATAAACAATATGCTGTTTTTATCATGAGTCCAAACTCCGCAACTGTGACAGTGGGCATAATAGTATATGTGTGAATGTGCGGCCATGCTTCCGGTAAAAGAAAATTAGTGTCTGTTTGAAACCATAAACCTCTAAAGGGGTAGCTCTAACAGGTACCTACAGCAATGGCTGCATGCTCATACATATACATTCCGCTGCCCATTGGCTCACAGTGGTTTTACCATATTGAGACAAGACAAGCTCTCCTTGCGTAGCAAGACAAAACAACTACTGTCCGTGTGCAGGGCGCTGCCCTTTGATCCTTAGGGAATAACTGGTCATACACCTCCTTACAAGGAGTATCCCTTGGGGGTGTATCGGCACAGGGGGAGAGGGGGGAGAGGGAGAGGGGAGAGGGGGGAGAGGGGGGAGAGGGGGGAGAGGGGGAGAGGGGGGAGAGGGGGGAGAGAGGGGAGAGGGAGAGAGGGAGGAGAGGGAGGAGAGAGGAGAGGGAGGAGAGGGAGAGAGAGAGGGGGAGGAGAGGGAGGAGAGGAGGAGAGGGAGGAGAAGGAGGAGAGGGGGGAGAGGGGGGAGAGGGGGGAGAGGGGGGAGAGGGAGGCGAGGGAGAGGGAGGAGAGGGAGGAGAGGGAGGAGAGGGAGGAGAGGGAGGAGAGGGAGGAGAGGGAGGAGAGGGAGGAGAAGGAGGAGAGGGAGGAGAGGGAGGAAACCGCCTAAAGAAGTAGTGCTTACAGGGCTCGTAAGACGTTGCAGATCGGATGAGGCCCTCGAGCTCCGCCCCCGAAAAGTTCTTTGACCGCGCGGCGATCTCTGGAATCAACACATCCTTATGCAAAGCAGCACACGTTTGAGCAGTACTGGTGGCTTCCCCTAATACAAGTACACTAATGAAGGGTCGCCTGCCATGAGCTACGGCTCAGGCTAAGGCCACTTCAACCAAGGAGCTTGGTCCAAGTAACCCTTGTCTCGCATGGATTTCGTGTGAATGTTCAAAATCTCAATGCGTCCATGCTCATCCGGAAGACTGATTTCCACGTGAACTTCCAGTCGCCCCGGCCGCAACAGTGCTTCGTCGATTAGGTCTTTTCTGTTCGTCATACCGATGAGTAAAATATTGTTCAACGAGTCCACGCCATCGATTTTGGACAGCAGCTGGTTCACAATGCTATCATGTACTCCTGTGCCGTCGCGTGTTGAGCCCCGCGACTTGCAAATCGAGTCAATCTCATCGAAGATGACGACGTGTAAGGGTGAGTTCTCTCCGAGCGTCTTCTCATCTTTTTCGGCATCGGCGAAAAGATTCCGGATGTTCTCCTCTGCCTGGCCTACGTACTTGTTCAGAACCTCCGGTCCGTTTACAATCTTTGGCTCTGCTGCCTTTAGAAACTTGGCCAGCTTCCTGGCAATCAAGGTCTTACCTGTACCCGGCGGACCGTAGAGTAACATCCCACGCACGTGGTTGATGCCTAGGTCGCGCACCATGTGAGGTGGGAAGATACGTGCGGCAAAAGCTCGTCTGAAAATGTCTCCGAACTGCTTGCTCAAGCCACCGATGCCCAGGTCTTCGAAATTGAAATCTGGTCTGAATATATTTCTGTGTTGTACTTTGTTGGAAAGTACATGGAGCTTTCCAGAGGGACCTTGCTGAAAGTCCAACTCCGTGAGGGAGGCGAGCATCCCGGAACTCACTTTGTTCCTCGCTGCGCCGTCCCCCAAATCCGGAGGCATCAAACTGCGCACATCGAACTTTAGAAGCTGCCCGTTGTAATCAACCGCGATCGTTTGACCAATGGCAACGACTTGGGACTCGAAACTCTTCCTAATCAGAGCATCCAGCTCCTCGTCTCTGATCTCTAACCTGGGAGTGTCGGGCGTAGGCTTCACGAAGAAGTCCACTTCCATCTTGCAGGTGCCCAGATCGAAGCCCTTGGGAATCATGAACTGCTTCACAAAGACCTCCTGATTCAGCCCAATCTTGGCAAACTCTCGCTGCACCTTGTTGAAGGCAATGGTCCCGGGTTCCATGAGACGGTGCGTCTCGATGCTAAAAACACAGCCTTTCACCTCTATGTACCTGGCGCCAGCACCAGCACCACATAGCCTCTCCACATCCGTCTGATTCGCATAGCACCGGTTCGTGAACGCCAAGGTCTCAGGGCGTGAGGGTGCATCCAACTGCTCTCTTTTGTCACAAATACTAAAGAGAATGACGTGATTCATGGTGATGGCGAAGCTTACTTACAAGCAAGGTAAAACACAGTTACTGCGCACATGAATGGCAGCTGGCCCTTAGCTCTGCAGCACTGCGTGCAAAGCGAATTCGAAGCCCGTCCTTCTCGGGCAGGTTTGAAGGCTTCAAGCTCAGCCCAAATGACATGGCAAGGCTGCCGCTGCTTTAAAAGATCTGGAAGCAAGTCTTTGTCTGGATTCGGCTTTGTCAAGAATCACTCGGCTTTCGTTGGGCTGTGCCAAGTCCTGCTTGCTACGCGGATTCAGCTCGAACCAAGATCCAGAAAGATTCAACACTGGAGAACTCAAGGACTGAGCGTTTAGAATGGCTGGCGCTCCCATTTCTTGCAGTGACTCCGGCCAATCCCCTGATGCCACTCAATCCTCCTTCCAGTTGTGCCCACACTGAGTGCACCTTGGCAAACTCACCCGGGATCTATCCTCGTCCGGGCGACTGAAAAACCGGCCTGTAAAATGTCGTCATGGGCTCGTCTGCAGAACGAGTTTGCATTTGTCGGAAGTATGCTCTTGAATGGGCACACTTTGGACCTGACCATGATGGCTCGTAGCTCCTGCAATGCTCAACGAGACTTCGGCTAGGCTGGCGGCAGTGTGCGTCGCATTGTTCGACGTCTTTCCAAGCCTGCTGGCTTCGCGTGGCAGTTTCAATCACAAACCACCCCTTGTATACCGCTGCCGCGCACTGCCTCACTGCCGCCCAGCACATCATCGACTTCTTTTCTGATGACAACCTGCTTGTTTGAAAGCTTCTCCTGCCAATTGCCAGTTTGCGATACAGGCAGGGTGATCTTTGAGGGAAAATGCCGGCAAATTTCAACCCTTGTCGCGCTCCCGAATCTTGTACACATAAGGGCATGTCCTGAGCAGATGGACATAGAACAAATCCTTCTGGGCACAAGCTGCACATCATGTCCTGCACCGGAAAGCAGCGCTGGAGCCTCGTCCGATTTCGATCACAAGCAAGTTGGCACCTGTCTACCAAGCTACAAAGACTCCCAAAACGACATTTACACACGGGCTGCTCGCAGCCAGGTCACAAGTCGGGCAAAACTGCGCGGCCATCGCTGGATCGGGCAAGACAGGCGTCCATTCAGTCCACAACCAGTCGGGGGCCTATTACTGTTTCACAGGACGCTTTGCATCAAATGATGCACCATGCGCAGAAATTGCCTGCATAGGCAACGAATGCAATAACTTGAGCCGAGGCAGAAGCAAACCAAAGCCAACTTGGAAGACACCAGACCGTTTTCAACCTGCTGTGGTGAGTACGCGCATCTCGCTTTGTTGCAGCACGCAGAGCTTTGATGCAAGCATGCTGCTTCTTTGCAGCGTGTGATCCCACACTACATGTCAGAGCATTGGGAAGTCGTGCTATCACTGATACGACAGAGGGACCAGGTTTCATCGAATATACATCTCACGAAGTGCTTGACCGACTTCTTAGCAGCGGCCGGTGTCAGGATGGCATAAGTCTTTTCACAATCTTGCTTGCTCAGGTCATTGCACTGGCCAGCTGGCTTCAACTGACGCATCTGCGAGCACGTCTCAGGCTCGCAGCATGCATCATCTGTTGTGCCAGACGAGTCGGAAGCCGACGGCTTCAAAGCCAGACCCGTTCCGCAGCTGTGCAAAGCGCAAGACTTCTCGCAGCAGTCCTCGTCTGACGAGCCAAGGACACCCTGCTTGGACGCAATGGCCAGCCAGCCCGTGCCACACTGATGCAGAGCGCAGGATTTCAGGCAGCATGTCTCTGTGCTGGTAGCAAACAGCTCCTTGGCATCAGTATTCTTCTCCCAAAGCTCCGGGCACTCGAAGGCTGCACATTTCTTCAGGCAACATCCTTCATCCGACGACTTGAATAGATCGCTGCGAGTTGCATCTGCCACCCAGCCGTCGGAGCAAATGTGCTGTCTGCAAGTGGGCTCGCAGCATTCACTTTCATCCTTGGGCGCAGTGTGTTTCTTGTTTTCGGGAATGCCAAAATTCCTCGGGCAAGTCACGGTTTCACATGTCTTTGCACAGCAATCCTCACGAGAAGCTCCAACTTGGTCGACTTTGGTGCCATCCAAAACCCACCCAGCACCACAGGTCATCATCGCACAGAGTGGCTCACAGCAAACGGCGTCGGAACTACCAACCCATTGGGCTCTCTCCTCCAAAGGCTTCCAGAGAGCTCCGCAGCTGTGCAGAGAGCATGTCTTTGAGCAGCACTCATCGTCTGTGGAACCAACCTTGCTTTGACTCCCTGGGGTGACCCGGTATCCGCCCTGGCTGCAAGAATGGTCTTTGCATGTACGATCACAACAAACGTCTGCGTTCCAACCCACGTTGTTGTGGTAGGCCGCATTTGCCACATAACCATCTGGGCATGTGAAAGACATGCACGTCTGCTCGCAGCATTCTTCGTTGCTGCTTCCAACATGTTCACTCAAAGGCTGCCTTGGGACCCATCCATCTTCACATCGCCCTTGCCATTTGCAGCATGAATTAGGGGCTGCGTTGGCACACTGCGTCTGTGACACGTTGACCTGGATTGACACTTTCAAGGACACGGTCCATGGCAAAGTGGCCAAAGCCACGAGAAACTTCATTGCGGGAGGCCCGCACTCGATCTGAAGACCTAGCAGGATGCTTAGCCGACAATCATGGCGGCGAGCAGAACAGTATCCTGGCTGCCTTTGACCTGACAGAATCTAACAGACCTTGAAGGCCCTCGCTGGCAGCCTAGTAAGTGCAGGAGCAACACCTAAGCAGCGGGAACGGCCGCAGCAAGGATGAAGGTAAGTGGCTGAGACCGTATACATTCACTGCTCCCCACCGGCCGCTCCGCTTCTTACAGCAAGCATCGACATGGCAAGCTTGTTCTGCATCTTTCTTGACGCAGCACGCATCCCAGTCATTCGCGGCTGCTCCGACACATGCACGCACACGTGCATACACACACACACACAAGCAGTCACAAGCACAAGCATGCTGCACCCTGTACTCAAGAGACACATGCCACAGATTTCAGTCGATGCTGGCCCATCCTGGCTCCGGGTCTCATGGAATTCCTACGCTGGCGATGGGTACGAGGTCAAGGAATCCTGATGCCTTCTGAGGCCGCTGAGATGCAATGCATACCCCAAGCGCTTCTGCCTCGCTTGCGGGTCCAGTTCAAGAATCGATTTCGCCTCTGTAAACATGGAGACATTCTTGAAGGAATTGAATGACACTGGCATCTCAACTACCCACATGCGAATATGCTCAAAGCATGGCAAATACAAGTGGCCTCGGCCCATCCAGAAGTTCCAAGCTTCATTGCCACTTTCATTGCCAGGAAGCAAGTGTTTCAGCACCGGCTGATGCATGGGAAGACCGAGCATCGGACGTATACTGAACCATTCTCTTCCAAACACGTCAGTCGTTAGTGCGCTTGGCAACACTCCAACCTGTCGCAAGCATGCAGCTAGCATCAGGTCCTCACGATGGCCAACAGCAAAAACGCAATCCTGAAACGTAGGACGTCCATTTATAAACGGTGCATCCACTAGCAGGCTCGACAAGTCACTCAATGCCCGGCGGGACAAACAAACTCCAGGACCTCCATCGTTGTAGACAAATCCGAATCGCGGGACATCATTGAACTGCCTGGTTCCCAGGTAGTGGGGCTCCGAAGCATCCAGACGTTCCGACACGACAAAATAGCGAAAGTTTTCTGGGATGAAGAAGGTGTCGCGTTCCAATCGGCAGTACCACCACTGCTCCCACTGCTCATCCTTGAGGTCGCTGTGCTCTTCGCCGTGCTCGGCTTCCCACCGTAGCATGTGCAACAGCTTGACGATGGTGTTGAAGTTGTCGTGCTGGGGGGTGTGACCGGTCTGTCGATGGAATGTTTCATCGTCAGGCGGCACATCGGGATACCACGCATGCAGATTTATCAATGAATGACGCATGGTCGCCGGCACGTCTAATGTCTGCGTGCTTGAAACGAAGAAACGCAAGACGTCGCAATCCGAGCCATATGTTTCTGAGATTGCGTCGAGGAATGCTTTTTGCGCCGGCCAAACCACTGGCACCAAGCAACTCACTTTGGGAAACAAGCCCATGCGAACGAAGTGTTGCCCATGCCAGAATGGGCGACCTGCATTCAGCACTTCTCGATTCCACGCTCTAACATCAGAGTCGATTTGATTCTGATTGAAACTACTCAGTCTGAAACTCTGTCTTGTAGAACACGCAATGCTGCCCACAGCGAAATCTGTCCTGTGCCAGCGCAACAACACCTTTTGCAACACATCAGCATGTGCAGTAAACACATCATGTGCCGACATCTTCGCGAGTCTGCTCCAGCTAGAACTGTCGAAGCACCACGGACCCCCACTGCCAGCGATGTGCCGCAAGGCAAAATCATAAAGGATTAATGCAGCCGCCCAGCTGACATGGCGAACACGTCCCGCACACCATGCAGCTTTGACCGACAACACGGCTGGGGACGTCAAATCGTCAGCAAAAGCCATATGGTACCGTCCGGCAGCATCGGCCGTCACTGCACACTGCCGGACATCGAGAGACGATGCAAACGAGGCGAATTCTGTTGGAAGAATATCTGGCCGTACATTGCACCTTGTATGGACGGCCATTGGCCAGATTCTCGTCGGAGGCTCAACAACCAAGTGCCAAGTTTGAAGAACTTCACTGCCACAGTCCCAAATACAGGGTTGTCTTCTGGGCGCCGCATGGAATGCAGAAAGTCTCCGTCGGCGCTATATTGTTTCCGTGAAACTTAGCTCAGGCCGATAGGCAACCATAATCAACATCGCGTTGTACGAACATTGCATTTTCCTGACAACCTGGTGCATGACGTGCTTCGTGCTGATTGCGAACCAAAGCATTGCAGAATCAAACCCGAACAGCGGAATGGTGGCGTAAGCCGACTCTCTGTTCTCACCTGCACCAGCTGAACAGCAAGACCCCGGATGCCCTCCAGCCGAAGGACTCGAATCTGCCGTATCCAGAAGATGGGCGACGTCGACTTACACGAAGCGGGAGCGCGAGGTACAAACGGCAGCATAAGGCGAACTGCATGTTTTCCGACTCCGAAACCAAGGCGACAGTCGACGACAACGCGTGCGCAGCACGTGACTGGCGAGCGGGGGCTGGAAAGGTGAGTCAGCGAGGATGTCGCTCGGGGTGGCAACTCCTCGTCAACACTGGCACTGCCAGTGATTGGCTAAGGAAGCAGGCTGGCTGCGAAAGAACGCCCGGCAGCAAAGGAGAGGAGCGCAGGATTTGCTCTTTCAGTCGCGCAGAGCAAATCCACAAATCAGACTACTCGTCGACAAAGCTGTTGAGCTGTTGAATATAAAACGTCCAACTGGGCCCAACCATTCCCATTGTGAGCTAGTGGCTGAAAGGGCCTCCAAGAGTTTGTGTTCCCACAATGTATCGAATCAGCTGCAGCCACCTCTTTGTCCTTGGGGTAGTGATTTATTTCATGGTGGTAGGAAGGGTGTCAAAAGTCAAGATGTGGTGCCTTTGATAGGCTAGAGTTATAGTAAGCTTTGCCCAATGTATCCGGGATGGCCGAGCGTTTCCTATGCAAGCGACAATCCACATCAATGAGCGGTCTGAAATTGCTTCGTGTTCCAGGGAATCAGAGTGCTTGAGAATATGGCCTATAAATATTAAAATTCTAAAAGAACGGTTTGCTGCGATGCATACAGCAACTCGACGCGAAATCATAGGCGAGTAGGAACGATATTCATTCGAACAATCTCTTTTTTTTCACATTCCTATTTCCGTCCGCGATTGGTCACCACTACGGCGGCGCCGCCAGCGGCAGCTCGGCGCCGTTGCTGGCGTCGCAAGGCTGGACCGGCAGGAGCAGCAGCTCCAGTAAGTGGGCGTGCGCTCGCAACACCGCGAGCGCCGCGAGGGCCGTTCAGCGTCGCGTGAGCGCGCCCCCCGCGGCCGCCCGCGCCCACGGCGCTCGGTCCCTAGCGCGAGCCCGAGCGAGTCGTCGGAGCAGCGCCAACGCTTGGCTGTCGAAGCGTCCGCCTACCTCCAAGCGACAACGGCCGTGCCCACCTGGCTGGAGCTCGGGGTACGCGCGTCTTGGCTTGTCGAAGTGCCAGCGCTGGCCTCACAACGGCCCCGGGTCGCGCGCGCCCGTCGTGCTGGACGAGGCTATCCAACAGCCGTCTGTGGCAGCGACATCCGCGTTCAGGTCTCGCAAGGCAACGCTTGAGGCGACCCGGGCACCGGCTTCCCGGCAGATGCGCACCGCCGCGCGCTCCAGCGGCCCAGCTTTGTGCGCCAGGACCCCGACTTGGGCGCAGGCAGACAGGTGGTCGGCCAAGCTGTCGAGGTGGCGCCTACACTGGCATCGCTTGGGCGCGAGCGGAAGGGCCAGGCGCAGCCTCCGCAGCAGCAGGACTCGGAATCTGTTTTTGCGAGTTCGAACGCTTCGTGGAAAAAATCAACTGTTAACATTCAAGATTTGGGGCAAGACTTGTTTGTAATGAAAACGATGGAGTTTCGTAACGTTTGATTGCAGCCACATCTGCGATTCCGAGCCATACAGCAACATGGCGAAAACAATCTGGTAATGAACTAGAAATTCTTGTTCAACCGTGCTGGAAGGGTGCTTTGGGAGGTCGTGGAAACATATTACCACCTCAAAAGCCGAGGCAAAACTCATTACGGTGAACTAGAAGATCCCCGTGAATGGCCAGTGAGTGGCATTTTCATGATTGCGGAAAATTGCACTCTTGAGGGAGTGGGTTTGTAACGTGTGGTGACATTGGAAAGCCGGGTGCGGGAAAACAAAACTTTATCGTCTGAATTGCTCCGCATCTTTTTGTACGTTAACGCACATCAATGCACCGTTCTCAAGGCGACGTGGTCCCCGTGCATATATACGGCAGCGTCCACCCAGCACAGCAGCGCCAGCGCCTGTCAGCCGAAAGCGTGCAAAGTGGGTACTGCTCTCCCACCACTCTTTGGTGTGAGGAAGTGCAGCAAAGAGGCGGCTAGCACACGGTGGTGCCGCTCCAAAGCAGAACACAGGCGGTTTGGGCAGTGAGCCGAAGGACGCCAGGCCCGCTCGCAGCGCGCAAGCAAGCGAACGCCCGACTGCGCTGACGAGAGTGGCATCAACCGTTGCCAAAGCTGGAGCCCATTGCAAACAACTTCAATCCTTGCACGAGAACATCAAGGTACATGTTGGCGAAACGCTCCTTGAATGCAACCCGTGCTCCAGCTTCGCAGCAAACTCTCGAAAGAGCGCGATCAAGGGGGATGGCGCACACAGTGAGGGCCCCGGACGTAACGCCAGCGGCATGGCGGGCTCCCAGGGCATCGAAGCGCCCACGGCAGCTGCAAGTGCGACGCGAAAGCGGGGATGGCAAGCGAATGCAGCGCAAGATCAACACTCGGAAGAGATCAGTGGGAATGGCGACATCCGTGTGTATCGGCATGACACAGATGCAGTGGCTGGCATGTGGGCCTGACTGCGACAGCGACAGCGCTTGAACCGCAGACGCGCTCGTCCGCTCGCAAGCGCTTTGATAAACGCTCACCAGCGTAAACGTCGCTGCGGAAAGCGACTGGGGGAGCCGCTGGGAGCGCATCCGACGGTGGCACGGCGTAGCTTTGCTGCGAAGCGGTGGTTCGAAGAATCGCGTCTTGCAAGGCTTGCACCATGCCTTGGGTTTGCTTAGGAAGGGTCCGAAAGATCCGTTTCAGGAGTTCGAAAACACAACAGGGAACAAGCAAAAAAGCTTAAGCAAACAATGGTTTTTGATACCGGTATCTTTGTCCAAAAATAGGCAAGAAACGGTTTGTTTCGAGCAGAGGATGTCAAACAATTTTCGGCAGCATGGATGTTTCCGTATACAGAAAAGCATGTTTTTTTTTCGCGAAATTTTGCAAGTATGAAGTTTTTTTCTAGTCTCTATTTTTCCACTCTTTGACTGGCGTTTTGTGTGTGCATATAAGTAACTTAGACACAAAGACAATCATACGTAAACATTGCCTTGTAGCAACTTATGTGACTGATGTGCAAACATGCATATAGTATATAGTCTGATATCCACATGATATGTATATATATATATATATATATATACATATTACGTGTAGATAACCTTAGCAACATTGGTTTCTTCGTCTTGGGGCTTTCTGCTTTGCTGTCATCGACAAGCAGCCCCAAACTAAACCCCAAGTCGAAGCCTGAAGCTCTACGAGTGAACCATCTTTGCATTGTTCCCAGACCAGCAGGCATCCTCAGATTCAAGCCAAACCCCAACCCGGACCCCAAGTGAAAACCGTTGAAGCGCCGAGGGGTATCTGGGTTGTAAGGATTCAATCCTAAATGCCCGTAATGGAGCTTGAAAGCCTAGGTAGTATCCGTATTAAAGCCCTCACTGCCCTGAGCAATAAGCCTTCCAAGCCCCAAAAGCCCCCAGCACGAGCTCTTGGGTTGTTAGGGGTTTCGGCTAGCTGTTTAATGGCTGTCAACCGATGGCTATTAAACGTGAATTTAATGCTTGCCACCTGGCAAGTATTAAATCCGATCTTTGAATTGTTTAATGGCTGCCTGCTGGCGGTCATTAAACGTTGGTTGCCTAGTTCTAGTCTTAGTGACACAGTGACCGGCAGCTGATCATCATCATCATCGTCCTGCTCCCGCCCGCGCAGGCAACCTTCGCGGAGGGGTTTCAGGGTCTAGGGTTTAGGGTTTGTTCAATGGTCGTTGGCTGACATCCATTGAACCCCGGCTAGCAGGGCTGTTTAATGCCTGCCGACTGGCAGTCATTAACCTGTTTAATGGCTCCCAATTGGGTGCCATTAAACCAGAAACCCTAAAGCCCAAAGGCCCAGTACGGGCTTTTTCGGACAAAGGGAAGGGGTCTCTAAGGCTTAATCTTAACCAGGGTTTAGGTTTAGATTTAGATGCCTTAGGATTTGGGGTGGGTTCAGCAAGTTCAGAGCTTCGGTACGATTCCCAAAGCCTGGAGACACTAATAATTCACCTGGATAACGGATGTGACTGTATGGATGTGTCTATATGCATATAAATCTGTTGTGGGTTCTCTCAACATCTACGAGGTGATATATTTGATCGTTGGACTAGTTGCCCAGAGCCTATGACTTCTGAACTATGGAATAGTCTGCTGCGTATCACAGCACGAAGCATTCAATCGTTTAAAGCATGTTCGGATGATCCGTAATTTGGCTTATGGGAAGAAACTTTAAGCCCCCCTCCAACGTGAGTTGCAGTTGGAGTTTGATTCTGTCCGGTGTGAAGGGCCTGATGTCAATGACGGCCTCAGTGGCCGCCATTAACGAATTTCATGGCTGCCAACTGGCAATCCTGAAATGATTGCTGACATGAATTTAATGCCAGCCGCATGGCTGACATTAAATACTTTTCAAGGAACGGAGAAGGCTCTGGCTGGTGAATGGTTGCCAAGCGTATCCTGCTCAGGGTCATTGCCTCCACTGACGATGACGACGGCTAGCGAGGTCCGGCCTGGGTAACTTGGGACAGTTTAAAATTTGGGGATTGTCATTGAAGGACCATCAACAACTCGTGGCCAGTTAAATGAAATTGGAGGTGCTTCACGGGTCTCTTCAG